GTAGAAAAAAAATACAGGTTTCCAACATTCCTCAAAATATCTTCTTGAGTGTTCAACAGAGGAAAGAAACTCATAGAGGTTTGGAACAAATGAAGGGAGAGTGAATGACAGAATATTCAGTTTTGGGTGAACTGTCCCTTTAATAAAGACCTCATCGCTGATTGGCTGGATTTGTTTGTTTTGAAACAGGACAACTGCCCATTCGTCTTCAACCCAAGACAATACGATCAGGACCGCGATCAAGTGGGTGACCGCTGTGATAACTGCATATACGACAGCAACACCGACCAGACGGACACCGATAATAATGGAGAAGGAGATGCATGTGCTATCGACATCGATGGGGACGGTGAGTTGTTGTTTTTTTTGTCGTGCAATTGTAACCCCACCAGTCCTACACCACCCAACTCGCTCCGAGCTGGTATCGAACCACAGACCTTCCGCATAGGAGTCGGTTGCTCTAACAAGGAGGATAAAAACCATGGCCTCTAACGTCTGTCGCTAGAGCACCTTTAGAGGTCAGAGGAGTGAGGTTTACCTGCACAGCTCTTACTAGCTGGCCTCCGTTACACTCACCCCCTAAACCTCACTCCCATCCGGGTCACGGCACCAATGTAACCCCACCGGTCCTACCAATCAACCTGCTCCAGGCTAGGATCGAACCAGCGACCTTCCGCATGAGAGTCAGTTTCTCTACCAAGGAGGCTAAAGACCATGGCAAGTGAATTATACTATAAAGTCATGGTGTACACAACTGTCTCTGGGCTTGCTGCATTACAAATACCAAAAACATTAATCACTTTCTGGCCATCAGATATTAGGCATGGATATATATATATATATATATTGCTGTTGTGATTTTCGAAAGTATTACAGCGCTTAGTAAATGTTTATTATTACCACTTGATGAGTCTCCACATACAGTTTGATAGAGCGTTTGGACCCGGAAGCTGCTACGCTCGACATCACACTTAACAAGCGGACATAAACAAACATTAAAATCATAGAAGCGTTTCTAAGAAAGTGCCTGATGCATATAGAGGAAAGAGAGTGTTTTACAGGTGTTGTTTCAATGCGATAATCCAAAATGTGCAGTACAATTGATGGATGGAAACACAGCCAGTGACGTTGTTATTTGTTTGTCCAGGCATTCTGAATGAGAAGGACAACTGTCCATATGTGTACAACACCGACCAGAGAGACACTGACCGGGACGGAGTCGGGGACCACTGTGATAACTGCCCACTGGAGCACAACCCTGACCAGGTCTGATCTTATTATTATTATAGTCACACCCACATATATTATATAGAGCCACTGCATAAATAAACCATCATAAAAAACAGAAACAATATTATAGAAAGGAGGAATTTAAGGTTGAAGAAAACAAGTAGTGTAACACGATTTGTTGTACATTCACAAGTACACATCGTTTACCTTACTGAGTCTGTAAGTTTAAGCCAAGTGTCTGGTGCATATGGAGAGACGAGTGTTACTGCAGGTGGGGTTTACAGTAAATACCATCATGCAGTCAAACATGGCACTCTACCAACCTTAAACCACTTTAAAAGTATTGTAGGTGCCGGTATCACAAGGATGTGATATGTGATTCTACAATGTTTGCTTTAAAATAAATCACTGAAATGCCATAGTGTGTGTGCAGGTACTTTAGAAACATGCTTAGTGAACATATTTGCTTATCTCAAAAACAATGCTGAGGTCAGATATTCTGCTTTGAAATGTGCGTTCCATGTCGGAAATGTCCGTCTTTGTTTTGGTCTGTGTGACTCCGCCCACTAACAGTTAAGCCAATTATATTTCACCCTCAAAAAAGACACCTAATTAACGCTTTGTAATAATGGATTTGACAGATTGACTCCGACTCAGACAACATTGGAGACAAGTGTGACAGTAACCAGGATATTGATGAGGACGGACATCAGAACAACCTGGACAACTGCCCCTACATCCCCAACGCCAACCAGGCCGACCACGATAAGGATGGAAAAGGAGACGTCTGCGATCATGATGACGACAACGACGGCATTCCTGACGACAGAGACAACTGCAGACTCGTCTTCAACCCCGATCAGCTGGATTCAGACGGTGAGTACTGATCTCAGGGAATTTTTCTTTATAATACTATGTATATGATATATCGGCGGCCGTACCGATATCTGCCGATATTTTATATTTTTAATATTATAATTTACTGTTCAATATCAAAATTAGGCTTTCAGACGGTGAGTGCTGATCTCAGGGGATTTTTCTGTATAATACTATGTGCATGATATATCTGCGGCCTTACCGATATCTGCCGATAAATTACATTTTTAACAATAATGCTACCTATCCAATATCAAAATTAGCCTTTGAGATGGTAAATGCTGATCTCAGGGTTTTTTCTAAACAAATTTATAGGCACAATAAATCAGTGGCCTTACCGATATCTGTCGATATATTACATTTTTAATATTAACGTTATCGGTCCAATATCAAAATTAGGCTTTCAGATGAAGCAGAGTCATAGTTCACTGACAAGCTACACAAAAATCATGTTCATAATCTCAGGCGATTAAATCAAGTGATTATAAAATCAAAGATATCAGAATAAGACCGATATTGTTAAGCCGATATTTTATGTATTATCTCCACCGGTTGAATCACTTCAAATCTGCATATGGCACTTTTTTCAATAGTTCACCCTCAGCTGATGATTGATTATAAAGTGTGTTTGGCATGCTGTCCCGGGAGAGAGCCCTGAGCTCATAAGACCCCCGAGCTCGGGGCTCCCTACCGTTTGCAGGGCGAGAGGGGAGTTTGAGCTCAGGTAGATCTGGAGAACTCCGCTGCTTTAGTAGCTACTGAACAGATAGTGATCGCTCTTAAGAGATAACTACTGACTAGCAACATGTCTATGGTGCTGATTTGGATTAGTCAATTAAGCTGCATGTTTTTGGCCGGTGAGAGGAAACCGGGGAACTTCATGTAAACTCCACAGAGAAATGTCGGCTGGCTTGGTAAGGACTAGAAGCAGTGATGTTCTTGCTGTGAGGTGACAGTGCTAACCACTGGACCACCGTGCCACCTGTTTAGGAAAGGAGGAATAGGGCTGGAAGGGGGGATTTTTCGAAATGAAGATGGCTGTGATATGGAGCTGAGGGTATTTATAGTGGCTTAAGAATCGTCTGATTCGTGAATCAGAAATTGCCGAAAGCAATCATAAGCTTACCAGAGTAATTGACAGTTCATTCCACTGTGGCAACCCCTGATAAATCAGAGACTAAGCTGGAGGATGGTGAGCGATATTGATTTGTCTCCTGTTTTCTCCTGCGCAGGTGATGGCAGAGGAGACGCCTGCAAGGACGACTTTGACGATGATAACGTGCCAGATATTTACGATGTTTGTCCGGAGAACTTTGCCATCAGTGAAACAGACTTCCGCAGATTCCAGATGGTTCCTCTGGATCCCACGGGGACTTCGCAGATTGACCCCAACTGGGTCGTCCGTCACCAGGGCAAAGAGCTTCTGCAGACGGTCAACTGTGATCCTGGCATCGCTGTTGGTGAGTGACTGAGAAATGAAGGCAATTTGTTTATCCACATGCTAATGTGCGGAATCTAAATGTTCAGTGTTTATATCGCTAGCGCACCTTCTGGGTCTTTAGATGAACAATTAGTCAGTGCAAGTTAATCCACTTTTAAAATCAGTTTGTTTTGGTAATCTTCAATCAAGCTCTGCCCATCTGCTTCTGAGGGAACAGCAGTCCTTCTCTGACCACTCTGATTGGGTGAAATATGCTTGGCCACGCCCCTCCAACCATTAGTAAAAGTTTCAGTTGGCAACACCCTTTAGCCACAATATTCCTAACCACACCCCCTTTTGTCTTAAGCTGGCATTGACGTGCATTAAACAAGCTCAGTTTGAGTCTTCATGGAGACTGATGGAGTTGATGATTTTGAATTCCCGCAGGTTTCGATGAGTTCAACTCTGTGGACTTTAGCGGCACGTTCTTCATCAACACAGACCGTGATGACGACTACGCCGGCTTTGTGTTCGGCTACCAGTCCAGCTCTCGCTTCTATGTGGTGATGTGGAAGCAGATCACGCAGACGTACTGGTCCCACACGCCCACCAAAGCCCAGGGCTACTCGGGACTCTCCATTAAAGTGGTCAACTCCACCACAGGGCCTGGAGAACACCTCCGCAACGCACTCTGGCACACCGGTGACACCGAAGGACAGGTAATGTGGACTTTTGAGTTCTTGAGACATTGAGCTTCATGTTTCAAATTAGACTCACTTTATTTTGCACCGTTTGTAGGTGCGAACTCTGTGGCACGACCCCAAGAACATCGGCTGGAAGGATTTCACGGCCTACAGGTGGCACCTGATCCACAGACCCAAAACTGGACACATCAGGTGGGTCTGCTGCTCAGTAAAATAACACAGTAGATTAATAACTGTCCTGGAGGTTTCAAGTCAATCTAAAGACCAGAAGTAGCTGCTTTAATTGGGCTGGGAAATAAACGTTGCACATTTAGTCAGTAAAGCCAGTTCTACTATACCCTCAGCATGTGCTTATAGATGGAGCATCCTCTACCACACAGACTTCATGGAGTCAAAGCCAATTGTGCGATTATTAGACCTGTTTGTGTAGTTAAATCGATGTAAGCAGTTAAATCTTCTATTTATAATAGCAGATGGAGATTTTGGGGTTTCTTCTTCATGGGTGTTCGCATGTGAGAGAGCGAGATGTTTTCCATAAGATCTTTTAATCCTGTATAATTGGTATAACAAAACATCTCCACCATTTTTCTCCTGCATATCTTCTATTATCTCATGTATTTTCTCTTTCTACAAAAATCAAAAGAGGGTTCCAAGAATCTTCAAAACACCTCACATCTGTCTTTAATGATGTACATTAATTTCTCCAGTGAGATATCTCCTGCATCCACATCTCTATACTTGATGCCTCCATGTTTTTCCAATGGAGCTCTATAAGCCGTTTAGCTTGTAAAATGCACACATCTACAAAAAATATATCCTCTTCGTCTCAAAGTTACATGCTGGAATAATATAATGTAATAAAAATTTGGTTCAAGAGGGATTGTGGTTACTAACCAAGTTTAACTCCTGCTCTACTGATTGATTTCCAGAGTTATTATGTATGAAGGCAAGAAAGTGATGGCGGATTCCGGAAGTGTCTACGATAAGACATATGCGGGAGGAAGACTCGGGCTGTTCGTCTTCTCTCAAGAGATGGTTTACTTCTCAGACCTCAAATACGAATGCAGAGGTAAAACTCAGTTGATTGCTTTTTTTTTTTTAAAGATTAATGCTTTAAATATCATCAAAGTACCTTTATTACATGCAAATTCCCAACAAATGAGCCTGTTCATACACAATCTCTATCCTGAACATTGATAGAATGAATTTACTTATATTTTTAATAAAGTCCTTTACCGATATTTTTAAAAAGGGACTGTTCACACAGAATCTCTGTTCCAAAAATTGGCAGAATGAATTTACCGATATTTCTAATAAAGTCCTTTACCGATATTTTTAAAAAGGGACTGTTCACACAGGATCTCTATTCTGAAAATTGGTGAAATGAATTTACCGATATTTTAATTAAAGAACTTTACCGATATTTTTAAAAAGATCCTGTTCACACATGATCTCTATCCCAAAAATTTGCAGAATGAATTCACCGATATTTAAACAAAAAATCCTTCACCGATATTTTTTCAAAGGAACCAGTTCACACAGGATCTCTATCTCGAATTTTTTGGCAGAATGAATTTACCGATGTTTTTAATAAAGGCCTTTACCGATATTTTTAAAAAGAGCCTGTCCATACATGATCTCTATCCTGAAAATTGGCAGAATGAATTTATCGATATTTTTAATAGAGGCTATACAGATATTT